AGGGTTTAATTGAGAAAAAAAGTGTAGAATGGGGAAATCAATCTCAGTCACACATTTATTTTGGCGCAAAACACTTGGGCTCATGGAAATGGAAAAGGGGTACACGTGTGTTTTCAGACCAATCATGTTTACTAAAACTATGCTAATCATTACCTTAATATAGTTTTAAGATAATCATTACCTTAATATATACAAAAACATAGTTTTTTTCTTTTCTTTTAATTTTTAAGAAACTATTTTTATCGAAAAATTATTTTAAATATATAAAAATTCATAATTTTTATTCTCTATAAATTGTAACGCCCGCACATTCGGGCTAGTCAATTTAGAGACAATAAGCATCAAAAATGAGTTATTGATGGAATATTATTTACAAGGATTAATCTTAACCAAGTGGTATTATATGTTACAAGGGTTCCGTACATATAAAGAACGCTGAAATCCGAGTTATAACGAAGAAGTTATGGTCCGTCGAAGTTTTACGACAAAACCGGCACGGCACCGGGAGACGTAAATAGTGAATTTACGATAGAGGAATTTTTAGCCTTAGTGATCTAAAAAAAGTTGTAGTATACGTTAAACCGAGAGCGTGCATAAAAAGAACGCCCAAATCTGACTTCGTATGAGGAAGTTATGAATTTTCTAAGATTTGACATAGCTGTGCACGGCCCGAAACTCGAATTTTAGATCGAGCGGTTTTTGGCCTACACGACCTAAATGATATTTGAATATCTCATTAATAGGAAGTCAACGATAAAAATAAAGACGAAAACGGAGTCCGTATGAAAAAGTTACGAATTTTTCGCGGTCATTTAACAGTATAATCTTCTCCTACTGTTAAATTTAAGATCGGTAGAGAATTAGCCGAAAGAGTCAAAATGAAAGTTGTAGATCTTATTTTTACCTACGCGTGGATATAAAGAACGTCAAAAACGGAGCTCGTATGCGAAAGTTACGGATTTTAGAAGTCGTAAGTGTGTTGTGCGAAAATGGGTGATGTGGCACAATCTTGGCCATTGCTTTCTCCCCAAGTCTTGCCACCAGATGGTGACATATGGCACCAAGTTCAGCCATATTTCACCCTATAAATATAACCTCTCTCACCCTTATTTTCTTCACACATTTCCCATTATTTCTTCTCTCTACACTCTCTCTAAACCTCCCAAAAACTCCCCTAGCGCTAGAAGAAAGCCCCAGAACGCTCGACGGCTCCGAGAAGAAGAGCTTTCGGCTCGGAAGTTCTGCCCCTGCAGAGCACGGCTTCTAGCAAAACCCCCTCGTAGGTAAGATACGTCTGCCTAATTTTTAATATAGTTTTTATTTAAATATAGTAACGTTATTAGGACCTTATAATAATTATTTGAGCTATTATTATGGGTTATATAAGTGTCGTTATAATATCTTTTTAACCACTCGCGGTATTGGAAATCCGGTTTGAAGGGTCGCCTGGGTTGTTGAATTTTAGAAGTGCTATATGCCAAAATGATCCTGCCCTCCGGTGTTTTATTTCTGGCCCCTGTCTGTACATAGTGGTTGGAAAATATTGTTTAAACGTTTATATAATAATAATAATAATAATAATAATAATAATAATAATAATAATAATAATAAGACTAATAATTAGTCACGGTAAATATTAGACTAAAATCTAGTGGTAATAATACTAGGTTTCGTCGAAGGAAATTATTTTAAAGTAAACGAAGCGCTGTCCGAGTACCGAGTCACCACCTTATGAAGTGAGTGCATAGTTACTTTCATCTTACACATAGATATGAAGTATTTTATATAAATTACGTGTTATGTGTGCATATAACATGTATACTTGCTATCTATGCTGGATGAACGATTTTATACATGTTTTAAATAATTTAAACTGTATACGTATTTTATATCTACGAATATGTTGGGTAAAACATTGGTAGATGAATGATGAGAGATAAAGATAATATGAGTGAACATTGGCAGCTATAGACTTAGTGCCTAATAAATAACATCGGCAGCTATGGACTTAGTGCCTATTGGATAAACGCCGGTAGCTATGGACTTAGTACCTGTTAGATAAACGTTGGTAGCTATGGATTTAGTACCTATTAGATAAACACTTGTAGCTATGGATTTAGTACCCGATGAATGAACTTTAGCAGCTATGGAATTAGTGCTTTAGGAACGAGCATTGACAGCTATGGACTTAGTGTCTGTCATATGAACCATGGAAGCGATGGACTTCAGAATGAACGAATGCAGGATAGATGATTCTTAGGGTAGACCCTTAAGAATAACGAAGATAATGGGGATGGGTAATTGGGTTAATTGTTTGACGATTAAACATAATAATTATATTATTGCGGGTTGAAAACCCTATGTACTCACCAGGTTTCCCAACCTGACCCACTCAAGCTTATTTGTATCACAGGTGTCGATATGAAGTTACATTACACTGAGAGATTAAAGGGATGTAGATCACTAGTGTAAATGAATGTAAGTTATGTTTATGCTTATGTTTCTGTATTGACAATGACATCCCAAATGTTTTAAAATGAATAAAAAATACATTTCTTCGAAAATGCTTTGATAACGTATTTATCATGTTTTACTGCAGTAAAAATCTGATGCATTTTTACTCATTTATGAATAATGAGAGCTGAAACTATAAAAAAATCATTTTATCTTAAAACTATGTCAATATGGATGTCTGTTTATAGAGAATAAAAAATTATGAATTTTGATATATTTAAAATCGTTTTTCGATATAAATAGCTCCTTAAAAATAAAAAAAACGAAAAAAAAACTATGTTTTTGCTTTTATTAAGGTAATAATTAGCATAGTTTAAGGAAACATGTTTTATTTAACAACACACGTGTATTCATTTCCCCTTTCTGCCGGTACGATGGAGAGCTTTGCGACAAAAAAAAATGATTGGCTGAGAATGATTCCCCCATTCTCAAACTTTTTTTATTTTTCTCAATTGTTATTACATCTCTCTCTCTCTCCTCGCTCTCTCTCTATAGATATAGATATATATAGATATATATATATATATATATATATATATATAGATATATATATATATATATATATATATATATATATATATATCAGTGTTGCAGAAATCGGCCTTGGCGGCCGATTAATCAACGATTAATCGATTGGCGGCCTCGAACCGATTATGATTAGGGTGCTTGGCGGAAATTGGTCAAAATCGGTCAAACTCGGGCTTGGCGGTTTCTGGCGGCCTTGGCGGTCAGAGGCGGGAAATATTTAAAAAATTCAAAAAAATAATAATTTTTCAAATATTACACCAAAATTTTAAATTTTTAATTTTTAGCTTTCAATTTTAATATTATACTAAAAAATTTTTAAAAATTTCAAAATTTTAAAATTTAAAATTTCCAAATACTTAATTTTTTAGGAAATATTAACTTTTTAAATAATTTTATTAATAATTTAGGGTCCCTGATTAATCCCCGCCGAGTCTGATTAATCGCTTATCACCCGTCGACCGCCGAGCTACCACCGAACGATTTTTACAACATTGATATATATATATATATATATATATATATATATATATATATATATATATAATCTAATATGTGTGTGTGTGTGTGTGTGTGTTTGTGTGTGTGTGTGTGTTTGGTTTCCCACAGGTATTTCGGGACGAAGTTGCCCACCTAACTCCAAACTCGAAACTTAAACACGATTAACCCCACCCCACATAGGAACTTGAGCTTTATCAAAAAATATCCTCCATATAGACCCGAAGTCTTACATATGTTTTTTCTGACATACGTACATGGTTTGAACTAAAAAATATATTTGCCATTTATATTATATACAAATAAAAAAAGGAAAATGACTCAGGAGGTAATCAACTATTGATTTTGTTCACATTTGGTCTCTTTCCTTTTTTTGTATGCAATATACCATCGAACTTGTTGTTTGTATTCACCATAACCCTTTTGACCGGCTATCAAATGTGATTGCCGATCAAAAAGGTTATGGTGAACACAACAAGTTCGATGGTATATTGCATACAAAAAAAGGAAAATGACTAAACGTAAACAAAATCAACAGTTGGTTACCATCCTGAGTCATTTTTCCTATTTTTCCAAAAGCAAGATTTCATTTTAGTTTACTAAAGAAAACATTTGTGTATAGTGAATCATGCCCTAAATTTTACATTTTACTCATTGTCCTCTTCTCCTCGTATCAACGTTATCATTAGAAAGCGTCCACTAATACTAATTAAATATTTCAAGTAAATCCATCTTTTGACCTACTAGGATATTCAAAAAAAGATAAAATATAGTTTTGCTCATTGATAAAAGTTTGTATTCACCATCCTCATCATCTAAAGAAACCCTATATACGTTCTCCCCCGAAATCTTTAGAAAAAGTTTGACAAGAGTTGTCATCAGTCTGATTAAGATGATCAGCATCAACTTTAGCATTTGATGTTGATATTATACATGTTCGTCGACTTCACATCATACGAGAAGAACTAACCATCAAAACTTACTTAATGTTTTTATTACAGTTGTTTGTACTTCGATTTGCACTTGTTGAACGATTTTGTCAATAATAGTTGAAGAACCCCTTTATTCCCCTAAACATGTAATTGGCCTTGACCAATTCATATTTTTCAACTCATTTGTAATATAAGGGAAAGTGACCCAGGAGGGTAACCAACTATTGATTTTGTTCACATTTAATCATTCTTTTTTGTACGCAATATACCATCGAACTTGTTGTTTGTGTTCACCATAACCCTTTTGATCGGCTATCACATGTGATTGCAGTCAAAAGGGTTATGGTAAACACAAACAACAAGTCTGATAGCATATTGTATACAAAAAAAAAGACCAAATGTAATCAAAATCAACAGTTTGCTACCCTCTTCGGTCATTTTCCCTTAAAAAAAGCATGAGTGTATATGGAATTATCTAGTCAACCAAAAGTAAATTACAAAAACATATAAAAGATAAATAAAAAAATTTATTCTCGAATTTTATAGGACAAGTTTGTTTACGTGTTACAATAACCTACAAAAATAAAACGACGATGCTTTACACGAATAAGTGGTTCCCTTTCTCTTTCTCTGGGGTCGTGTTCAGGCTTCTAATGCCTTTGACCGGCGCCTGAGTTTCTAACTTGCACAACTTCTAAAAAGACTATAAAATGTAATAATCTTGAAAAAAAAAAGTTTTTGATTTAAATTTTGGGCTCAAAAAGGGGTTTTATTTTGTTTTTACGGCCATGTAAATTTCTCACTAAATTTGAAATTAAAAAGCCTAAGTAATTATTCCCTTGAAAATTTAAAAAGGAAAAAATATTTATGTTTTTTCAGTTTGCAAAATAGCTAAATTGAAGGCTTTGGGTGGCGGGCATGTAGGTGTTGAAAAAATGGCCTCTTGATGTTCCTTCTTCGTCTTCTTCTTGCCACCCATCCATCTGCAAGTAACATACAAAAATATCAAGTGTAATAATGGAATTTCACATGATCATAGAGTTTACTATTTTCCATTTTAACCGCAATAAGCAATTGTGAATCTTTTCTTTTTTAAATAAATGTATTCCACATAACATCCTTTAGGGATGGTGAAATGCTCAATTCTTTATTTGAAAAGACCGCTAAGACAAAGACATGGTTAATTTAGCTTATCTTTGTGAATCTTTTTGTTCACAACATTATTCTAATATCCACAATTATTAAATATGCTCATATCATCATTTATGTCGCTATGTTTATATATATATATATAGATATATATATATATATAAGATATATATATATATATATATATATAATATATATATATATATATCAACTTAGTTGACATGTAAGTGATTGTATACATTGACAACAACATAATAAATCCTTATAAAACTTATGTGATCCTTGCTCAATATACATATGTTATTCTTATATTAATATAAAAAATTACTAGAAGATAACACATACCCAAAATTCATCTTCATCTTGGTATCGATGAAAAGCTGAGGGTTTAGGAGTTTCCTCAGGCTCATCGTTACGTGCAAATCTTCCACGGATTCTAGGACGATTATCAGCAAGAGTTTTTCGACATGCATACTGTTTATATTAAAAACAAAAATATAAACATAATAAATACAACTTTTTTCTTAAGTTTTTTTACATCAACATATTCTTTTCATAAGTGTTATTTCAATTCAGTAATTTTGTTCATGTACATGTTTTTTTCATATGTTATATACTAAAAGAAAGCAAAAATCTCATACCCCAAACCATAGAGACCATTCGTGTAATTTACTCTATTTATAAAAAGTTAATTTAGATGAGATCAAAACATAAACTAATTTTAATATACAAAATATAATATAACGGTTTTTTTAACTTCGATAATAATTGGAGTTTTCTAGGTCTTTGCTAAAAAATAATGCATACATGTAACAATAATGAATAAAAACATTGCATAGTGTTGATTAAACCAAATATTATATAATTAAAAATTAAAAGTAACATATAAATTTATGAATTACCTTAATTGTTTTATTAAAATTTCTTTGCGTCCTTTTTGCTTTGTATTTCAAGATTCTCTCTTTCCTTTCTTCTGGACTGTAACGCCCTACTTTGAAATTTGCTTCCTCCATTAACGACCCTTCTGTCGCTAATGGACTTGACGACAATCTTTCACTTCTTTGGTTGGGTCTCAAGCTCTAAAATCCAAGAAAAACAAAAATAGTATTAGTGACACTTGGAAACATTAGTTTCCAAAAAAGGCAACCCAAGATTTTGGAAATATTGAAATAATTTCCTTCTCATAAAACTCAACATGAAACTTTTAGGGTTTTAACTCCAAAATCATTTTAGACATTAGTATTTTATCATCAACTTTGAGAACGAAAGAATACTTGTTGATTTTGAATTAAAAAAAATATATATGACAATTTGACACCTAAAAGGCTAAAAGTCTAAAAATTGATTTTGAAACTTTTGATGCTTTGTTAAATCCAAGTCGAATTTGGCATCAACATGCTTGATAACAGATAACTTTTTTGCCATATCTATCTACAAAAAGATTATAATTATTACTATTTGAAAGTAAAAAATGTATTTATTTTACACAAAAGTCTAATCAAAATTCATTTTAAGATCATGTTTGACAAAAGCTTGTTTATAAATTACAAATATAAAATGAGATAAATGAACATGTAGGTGTAAAGCTAAAAACTAGCGTTAAAACTAATTAAAGATATAATTTAAATATTTATAACTTAGTATATAAGTTATTTTGTAATTTTATCAAAACCAAAAATTACAATAAGCTAGCTTATAAATTTGTTTATTTTCGTCGAACAAAACCTAAACTTTGTTTGCTAATTCTTATTCCAACTGTTTCAAGATAATATTTCTACCTTCTTTTTTTTTTTTTTTTTTAAAAAGGTAATTCTTGTAAATTCTAAAGCAAAAACAAGAATGAAGTGGTTTGACCAAAAAAGTCAAAATCGGGCATGCAAAATGGAGGACTAACTTGTAAATCACCAGTGCTGCAAACCCTTCTCATATGACTAGAAGAGAAGCCATGATCAGGTGATGTGAGGACTTGGGAATGAAGATTTGAGGACTCAATCAAACTATCGAGTTTTGGTTGAAAAACAAAACCATTTGGTCTTTTATTAAAAGATATACTGCTGTAACTCCTTTGCATCATCTTCATTACATTGTCACCCCCACCATAACTATGAGGTAAGAATGAATCGTTGTTGATAAAATAACCATGAAAGGGTAGTTGACTTTTCTCTGTTTTGACCTCGAGAGGACATGAATCTAGGGAAATTACTGAATTGCCCATTTGGGAAAGAGAGAGACTTTCGAGCTGGTGGCTTGGTGGGGAAGAAGACTGGATGGTAGGGATAATTTGGTCAATATCATTAAATGGGGTGTCAAGATTTTCATGGGTCAAAGTTGACGATGGAGGATTAAAACTGTAAGTGTTTTCTTGAAAAGCTTTCAGGATGTCAATGGAGGAAGAATCAATCAAAGGAGAGAAAGGATCGGTGAAGAGACACTCTTCAAATTCAAACATATCAGAAGACATTGAAAATATGATGAATCTTGATCCAACATACAAGAATCTTTATGTTTTTTCACCAAAACGTTTGTGTTGATGAAAAGATAGAGATCAAGTGTATGACAATGTTGAAAACGGCAAATCAGTCAGTGATATTGACTTGAATTTCTGACAATCTTGAAAAAGGGCAAATCAGTCTTTTTCTTTGGACTAGAAAAGGTGAAACTTGAACTTTTCACAACCTGGTCAGATGAAATCTTTCTTCCTTTTTCATCGACGGATAAAAGGTGAAACTTGAATTCTACCACAATCTTGAAAAGTGCAATCTCTTACATTTTTATAAGGGAAAAAAAGGGTCAAATCCGAATTTTGATGATTAAAAACACACCCTTTCTTCTTTTAACCATTGAAAATGGTTAAACTTTAATTGAATGTTGATCATCATGAGATTTGAACTTTCAAGAATTTCTTTTTCGATTTACAGAAAAGATGCAATTATCTCTATCTTTCTTTCAAGATTGCTGAATGGAAGCATAGAAAGGTTTACAAGAATCAACAAGAGAGAAGACACTTTTGAGGGTGGCCAAAGGCACTAGAAAACAAGAGAGAAAGAGAAAGATGACACTTTCTCTCTCTAAAACAAGAAGAAGAGGACACCATTCTTTTGGCAAGAGGAGGCCACTTTAAAAGCATTAGCTTCTTGTCACAAAGCTCACAAATTAGTCCACTTATTCTAATAAAATATTATACATTCTCTCTTGAGTGTTCTAATTAATAAAATCAGTATGACTGTATGAGAGTAACTCATTTTGATGTAGAAAAACTCATATTCAACTCCTTTTAGACAATTTAATAAATGGATCATGACTTGAAAATTTTCTGGACTTTATATAAATTTAATAGAGGATAAGACCCAAAATGTCAACATGATGGTATAAAAAATATTAGTCCACCTATGGTATAAAGTTATCAAATGTAGATGGTAAATAGTAGCTATATAGGGACTATAAAATGTGATACTTAAATGATCAAAGTAAGATATTTAATCTAATGAAATAACATTTTTTGAGAAATTATGAAAAATAACCACTTATTGCGCAAAATGGATTATGTGAACTATCAAAATTACTTTATGACATGGTGCTCACTATATAATAGTTTCTTATTTGTTTTATTGTGTAACTTATTCATAAAATTAGAACAATACCGTAAATTACAGAAAAGGAATCAAAATTTGTTGGAAACGACATCAAAGTAAATTTGCAAGTTTAAGTTATTTTGTAAAGTCCATAATAACTAATAAATCATAAATGGTTATTTTGTGATACATAATTAAAAAATAATAATAATAATAAATAATAAATAAAAAATAAATAAAAATGGTTACAGCATCTTCTATTTTGTGATAGCACCTCTTATATTGGCCTTTTTACTGGATAACCCTTATAAAATTTAGATGGTAACCCTTATAAAATTTGGATGGTAAATAGCTGTCAAATAACATTTACGAAAATTTTAATAAAACTAGTTGGTAGGAAGTTGATAGCTAGAAATTAAAAGTTGTAACTTTTAGACAAAACTGCAAAAATGGTCCTTGTGGTTAGGTGAAAATTGTCACTTTGGTCCAAAAATGTTTAAACTAGCATCAGAGGTCCAAATTTTTCATTTTGTTGCGACTTTTGTCCATTTTTGTTTTAACTTTTTTATAATGACGAATTTGCCCCTGATATTTACTTTTTTATTTCTTTTATATTACAATAATTAAAAAAAACAATTATTTTTTGAAATAACCACCGGAGAACAAAATTCTTACAATATCTCTCTCTCTCTCTCTCTCTCTCTCTCTCTCTCTCTCTCTCTCATCCATCGATATTTCCACACAAAGTCTAGTCTTGACTTGAAATAACTATCGGAGAACAAAAAGCAGCCATCGGAGAAGACGAACAGAGAAAGACAGTGGTGACTTCGACGACTCTGACGTCTAGCACGAGAATGTCTTCGGTGACTCCGGTGTATGGCAACTGATATCGTTGACGTGTCTGCCCAGATCTAGCGGTTCTTAGCATCATCGTCATCTTCGCCACTAAGAAACCCTCGACCACAAGTGTTGTAACCGCTCTCATGAAACCCTAACGTAAATGTGAAAACCCTCAAAGGAAAATTTGTCTCTCTCTCATTCTCTATCTTCCTCAGAAAACCCTTGATCTTTCAGATATTCGTTCTTCTCCATCGGTTCTTCTCTGGGTGACGAAGGCTTCCAAGTCGAAAGGTTTTCAAAGAGGTTCAACAGTGGTAGCGGTGTTGGCCAGTGGTGGTGGTGATGACTCCGACGAAGGGTTTCTAGATCGACGACTCTGACGAGTCTGACGAAGGGCCTTAGTGATCTTAAACGACCGAAGAAAGAGGGTGGCGGCTCCGGTTATGATGGGAGCTGAAGATGAGTGTGTTTTCAGATCGGAGGGTTTTGGTGGTGTTGAACTGTGGTGGTGGTGATTTTGACATGTGTTATTGGTATAAACAGGTGGTGGTGGTGGCATTCAAAGGAGGCAGCAAAATGGGTGGCGCCAAAGAAGTCCTCGTTGGTGCCGGAAAAACTAGGGTTTGAGTGTGTGTAAAGTAGAGAGATGGGGGGGGGGGGGGGGGGGGGGGAGATAACACAACACATTTTTTTTTGGCTTATTGTAATAAAACAAATGAATATACTAAGGGTAAACTCATCATTTTAGAAAAAATCAAAACAAAACGGACCAAACTCGCAACAAAATAAAAGTTTTTGATCATTGGTGCTAGTCCAAATCTTTTTTGACCAAAGTGGCTATTTTCAGCTAACCACAAGGACCATTTGTGCAGTTTAGTCTAACTTTTAATATCTAGAAGTCATCGGCTAAAGTAGTTTTTAACTTTAAAATGTGTAAAATTATATAAAATCCTAAAAGTTAAAAGCTACTTGAAACAATTTTTTGATTATGATTTTTTTTTGTTTAAAATAAAAGCTAAAAGTTCATATAAAGTTTTTTTTTTTTCAAGTTTTTTCATAAAAGCTAAAATCTCTCAAAAGCTACGTGCCGAACCAAGAAGACGGTGTACCATTTGAAGAACATATCTAATGATGTGTTCGTGCTTACGAGTTTCAGATAAACAAGATATTTTTTATAAATGACATTATATAATTACTAGTTTTTAAATCACCTTACGTGTTACAAATCATTATTTTTTGTTACAAATCATTATTTTCTTTAAAGGCATTCAAGAAAAAATCATTGGACATTAATGAAATTTTCTTGACAAAAGTTTCTAAGACGACTATACTCTTTGCATTCACATTTTAACGTGTTACAAAAGCTTGCTTAGACTTGCAAATTATAGTTTTATAATATATATATATATATATATATATATATATATATAATAAAAGAAATTTATAGATACCATCATCTTATCATCAACCTCATTTAGAAAAACTATGTGACATAATATACATATATTTTCTTATAATCATACTCTCTCATAAATAACATAAGATTAATAGTATACTTATAGATTTATTATTTGTAAACCATAACTATGATGTTTTGTTACTAAAAGTCAATTAGCCTCTTACAATTAGTGAATTAGATTACTTGGCTAAGGGTCAAGTTGGTGAGCTTTTAGAGTTCATGAAAAGACCATCCATAATATTTCTACCGAAAAACAAACATTTCCGTTAATTTTTTTCTTAGTAATTTTATTTATATATATAATTATGTTCATTAATTTATGTAACATTAAAAAGGTTATAACTGTCCCCTAAGCTGTTAATTGGTGACTTTCTTAAATATAACCACATAATATAGATTCCAAAAAAGGTCATTTTATGTTGAACTATCAAGTGAAAAATAAGGATATGTCACACTACACATACTTGATATTAATATTTTATATTAAAAAAAATATAGATAGTTTACACATAAGTTAAAAAAAATAATCCCCTATTATAATAAATAAGTACTAAATCGCCACGTGTCACTCTCCCAACCCCCCTAAATCAAGTTTTCCCGCTTCTTTTATTCAACTGAATTTACGGCAATGCCCTTCAATTCATATACACACAATAAATATATATAAATATGTAAATTATATGCAAATAATATGCCAAAATCGGTAATTCAAATTTAAAATACGTGATATGCGATAAAATACGAAAGTTTGTTTTTTGAAATTAGAAATTGATTAATTTCCAGTGATTAAATCCCAAAAAATCTGCACCAAATAAATGCATACCGAAATATATACCACTATACCATCTATACGCTTTTGTATCCACGATTCTGCTTTAGAGATTTCTTTGCAAACGGTATTCTTCTTCGGTTCTTCTTCACTATACCTTCTCAGTTTTATCTGTTTTAACATAAGTTATTCAATAAATCAAGTTGCTAACATAAGTTCTTCAATTCTTCCTGTCGGTACCAGGATTAATTTCCTTGATTTTGTGATCGTTTCCTGCATAATCATCCTCGACGACACCAACAACTACACAAGGTTAAGAATCTGAATTCCTATGCAGTCTTTCTTTTACAGCGCGATCTGAATTCATGCATTTGTACAATGTCGATAACCGGATATATTTTTCAAAGTTTTCATGTTTATGTTCTTACTTCTTCCTTTTTGAGAACTCTACATAGTTAATCTTGTATTGTTTCCTCTTAAATAAATTTCAATTGATCGCTTTTAAGGTTGTTTCTAATTTAAAACTACATAGTCTGCTTTATATCTATTTTTCAAGTCTAATTAACCATCTGTGGCAAAAGATCACCCTCAACAGATAACATTATATAATAATATTATCTGTAGGGACCAATTATGTAACATTTCAACGAATTTGGGAAAATTTATACTATTGCATTATATTTTAATTTCCAGTTTGTGTCTTTATTTCTGTACATTAGGTGATTGTATTGTATTATATTTTTAACCCAGATTCAATGTATGGAAAGTATTTTGACAGTAATTGTTTTCTACACACCTATTAATAAACTTATCAGAGGGAGGGCAAATTCGTAAATTTGCATGTTCCCCCTCCTTCCTGTCGGTTATAGCAATGTACTTTAAAAATAAATCATATGTCATATCCTATAGATAGAAACAATTAAGAAAATCAAAAACTATACACTTTCATATTTTTTAGAAAAAGTTAAATATTTGCATTTTGAATAATAATGAAAGCATCAGCATATACATAAATTGTCTATTTGTAGACACCCTATTTTAAAAAATTTTTAAATTTTAAATTTATAAATGAGTTTTTTAATTGTTTAATATATAGATTGACTGACCTCTCTTTGAGTTGGCTCACCACTTAAAAAGGCCATGGCAACTCCAGTAAGTGAGATAGTAATCAAGGCTCCAACAAGACCTATTCCAGCCCACAAAAGCCATCCTTTTTGAAAATCAAAAGGATTCCTCCAATCTGGAAAATTAATTTGATGAAATGTCAATAAGTTTGTAACAAAAAAAAACAGTATGTTTTGAGTTATGAGTTATGAGTTATGACTTATGACTGATAAAGTGATAATTAATTAATTACCATAGCTATACAAGTCTTTTTGTCCATTTCTGTTGGTGACACTATAAAGTGTTGCAAGTAAAACAGCTGT